ACTGAGTAGCAGACCGCCATATATTTATGTAAAGTGTCATCACCTATTGACTTAAGCGCATGTATGAGGCTTAGCATACAACACACTTTGCGACGGAGAGCATCTTCTGTCAAGCTGGAGGCACAAGGTATAGTATCCGTACCGACAGACTTATGCAATGTCCAGGCAACAGGAAGCAAAGTCGAGGAGGCAGCTTTCTCAGTTCCCCACACTTACAGGAAGGCCCTGAGGCTCATGGGAATTGAAGTTCAAAACACCAGGATGGCGTACGCTGGCATAAGCCTTTGAGCATAGGGCTGCTGTACATCTGGATTTTCCCAGACATTACCGGGATTTCAAAGTCGGAATTGATGTCTGTGAGGAATTTCCGAAAGGCGGCGCTTTGTCCTGGATCTTAGGCAAATCAATCAAAAAAAAATCACCGTTGAGTTTTTGTAGAAACGAAACATCTCAACAAGTTCCGTGTTTTCCTTAAAAAAGCTCAACAATTTTGGGGTCTTGCTTAAAAAAGCTCAGGGTGTCCTGGTTTTTACTTTTTGAAATATGGCAACCCTATGTGAGCCTCTGTGAGTGTCGTGAATGCACCCAGTTCTGTCTACAGACAGCTGATTTGATCCACTTCTATCCTGTGCTACAAAAGTCAGGTGTCTCCCTCTCTCTCTGCCATGTGGTAGCAAGATCCCAGTGGGCGGGGGGTGTCCAGGCACTCACCCAGGGTCCATGTTCCTTTGAAGAATTGGGACATGATGGAGACTGTCATAGCTTTAACAAATATGGCTTATTCACCTATTTACACCTTCAGTCTGCATGGAGGGAGTGCACATCTTACAGCATGGTCATTTCAAGAGGGGCTTGGAATCTGCAGCAATGCAGCCAGCCTTCAGCCAACCTGCCCAAGATGGATCCCAGTCTTTCCTCCTCCTTCCCAGAACACCCTGCTAAAAATCTCTTTTCCTGCCACTGGCGGGATGCGGGTGGCGCTGTGGTCTAAACCACTGGGCTTCTTGGGCTTGCCAATCAATCATAAGGTCAACAGTTCAAATCCATGCAATGGGGAGAGCTCCTGTTGCTCTGTCCCAACTACTGCCAACCTAACAGTTCGAAAGCATACCAACGCAAGTAGATAAATAGGTACCACTGTGGCAGGAAGGTAAACAGCATTTCCATGCACTCTGGCTTCTATCACGGTGTCCCATTGCACCAGAAGTGGTTTAGTCCTGCTGGCCACATGACCCGGAAAGCTATCTGTGGACAAACGCCATCTCCTTCAGCCTGAAAGTGAGATGAGCGCTGCATCTCCATAGTCACCTTTGACTGGACTTCACCGTCCAGGGATTCCTTTACCTTTTTTACCTTTCCTGTCACCTCACACCCAATTACTCTGGCAACCTTCCAAACCCCCAGTCTCTGTTCACCCCTCAGGGCAAGTGAGAAGGACAGTTCTCATGCATTGACAAACGCTTTCAATGGCCCCGTATTGTTTCTTAATGGCCCTAGCTTGGCCAGGTCATTTTGCATAGGCTACCTCAGGAATTCTTCTGCAGCTTGTATTTAAGCCAGGCATGTCCAAAGTCCGCTTCGGGGCCTAATCCGGCCCGCCGGCTGGTTTAATCTGTCCACTGTGGCAGTTTATTTCATGGGGTAAAATCCTTAAAAAAACTAAAAAAACTTCAATCTTAAAAAAAAAGCTCAAGGACTTTCAATCCTAAAAAAAATGTCAATTTTGGTCGGCCCTCACGCATGTCCACTTCATCAAATCTGACCCTCTTTGAAAAAAGAGTACATTTTATCATATGTGGTGGGATTGTAATGTAATTTTAATAAATTGGGAAATGATATACAACAAATATTTAACATTTGTTTAAAAACCTGAAGCATTTTTGTTAGGGATTGTAGGGAAAGATCTGCCAAAAAAACTGAAAAACATCTTCATGTATGAAACAACGGCCGCAAGAGTTCTAATAGCACAAGGATGGAAGACTGAAGAAACTCCAACTAAAGAATCATGGCAAGGAAAATTGATGGACTATGCAGAACTGGCAAAACTGACATACAAGCTACGGGACGAGGATAACTGTGTCGTTAAAGATGAATGGGAACCCTTTACGCAGTATTTGCAGACGCAACAAAGCGAACTGGACTGCTTGGCTGGCTTTGAATAAACATGCACAAACTTTTTATTGATAATAATCAGCTAAATAGTTTGAGGATCTATACAACTCTGTAACATGCAGAAATCAGCATTCTCAGAGAAAGCAAGGAATGGAACTGAGGGAAGTCGGGGGTGGGTGGGTTTTGTGTGGGAGGGCGGGGGGAGGGAGGAAAAATGGGGGGGAATAAGCATGATATGTTTCTGGATAATATGTTTTGTTTTAATTTTGAATAATAATAAAAAAGTTTGCACACCCCTGATTTAAGCAGAGGTTCGATGGTCAACTGTCATGGATGCTTTAGCTGACATTCCTGCATTTCAGGAGCTTGGACTAGATGGCCCTTGGGTCCCTTCCAACTCTAAGATTCTCCTTTCACTTCCCCTATAATCAAAATCCCACCATTTATTAATTTATTTCTAGCCTTTAGGGGTGTGTGTCCCCAGCCTATAACAGCTGATTCCTCTCCCTAGTTTTTCCCTATGGCAGAGGTTTTCTTCTTGAGTCCACGGCTCCCTTGACCAACTACAGTCTTTCTGCGGCACCCTTGTGGGGTTCAGGAGCCCAGTTTCGCCACCCCTTGCCTGCAGAACTGGCAGCCCTTCACCCCTTTTCGAACACCCTCCCTTGTGGAGGGTTCCCTCCGCCTCCTCTCCTCTCCCCTCTCCTTGGGAGTCCTCTGGGCAGCAGCGAGCGCTGCCAGACCTCCATGGTGGAAAGGCACCGGGCTCTCAGCCCCTGGCAGGCCTTGCACACAGCAAGCACAAGAAAGGCCAGTATGGTGCCTGCCCACTTGTCTGTCCATTCCCAACAGCAAGGGCTGGTGGACTGGCTGGCAGGGCTCCCTCACCTGTTTGCTTGCTTAGTCCGCGGCTGCCTCAGTTCCTGGCAACCAGAACCCCCCAGAGTCACCATTCGCCTGGGGAGCTTGTAGCCAGGGTATAAGCCATTCTTGGGAGAAAAGCAATGACAAACCTAGACAGCATCTTTAAAAGCAGAGACATCACCTTGCCAACAAAGGTCCATATAGTTAAAGCTATGGATTTCCCAGTAGTGATGTGTGGAAGTGAGAGCTAGACCATCAAGAAGGCTGATCGCCGAATAATTAATGCTTTTGAATTCTGGTGCTGGAGGAGACTCTTGAGAGTCCCATGGACTGCAAGAAGGTCAAATGTATCCATTCTGAAGGAAATCAGCCCTGAGTGCTCACTGGAAGGACGGATCCTAAAGCTAAGGCTCCAATACTTTGGCCACCTCATGAGAAGAGAAGACTCCCTGGAAAAGACCCTGATGTTGGGAAAGATGGAGGGCACAAGGAGAAGGGGACGACAGAGGATGAGATGGTTGGACAGTGTTTTCGAAGCTACCAGCATGAGTTTGACCAAACTGCAGGAGGCAGTGGAAGACAGGAGTGCCTGGCGTGCTCTCGTCCATGGGGTCATGAAGAGTCGGACACGACTAAACGACTAAACAACAACAACAGGCAAACTAAGGCCCGGGGGCCAGATCCGGCCCAATCGCCTTCTAAATCCGGCCCACGGATGGTCCAGGAATCAGCGTGTTTTTACATGAGTAGAATGTGTCCTTTTATTTAAAATGCATCTCTGGGTTATTTGTGGGGCATAGGAATTCGTTCATTTTTTCTCTCCAAAAATATAGTCCGGCCCCCCACAAGGTCTGAGGGACAGTGGACCAGCCCCCTGCTGAAAAAGTTTGCTGACCCCTGGTATAAGCCTTTGGGAGGCAGAGATGCAAGAGGGCATCAAAGGATGGAGGGAGGGAGGGAAAGAAAGAAAGAGAGACAGAGGCCAGTGTTGCCTGCAGCACCTCTGACCATTATGCAAAGCACCCCAGGGTGCCACTGGCACACGGCAAACCACTGCCCTATAGCACCTGCTGACCCACCACCCATTTTTTTTAACCAATCAACTGAGGTAAAGGTAAAGGGACCCCTGACCATTAGGTCCAGTTGTGGCCGACTCGGGTTGCGGCGCTCATCTCGCTTTACTGGCCGAGGGAGCCGGCGTACAGCTTCCGGGTCATGTGGCCAGCATGACTAAGCCGCTTCTGGCGAAACCAGAGCAGCACACGGAAACGCCGTTTACCTTCCCGCCGGAGTGCTACCTATTTATCTACTTGCACTTTGATGTCCTTTGAAACTGCTAGGTTGGCAGGAGCAGGGACTGAGCAACGGGAGCTCACCTCATTGCGGGGATTCGAACCGCCGACCTTCTGATCGGCAAGTCCTAGGCTCTGTGGTTTAACCCACAGCGCCACCCGCGTCCCGGTAATCAACTGAGAGGAGGACACAAAAGTACGAAATGAAAATGCCCCAACTGGGCAAGGAGCTGAGCTCTTCCGACTGAATTTGAAAGGGTCTCCCTTGCCCAGACAATGACCCGATTGTCCGTCTCTCCGCAAAGTATGTCCTGTGCACCCCAAACCTCTGTTGTATTTCAGAGGGTGGAGAGGGGAAGATACACAATACCATGTCGGGGAAACCATTCTTTTAAGTGGCGAGCTCAATGCTGACCCTCTTCTATTGTCCCAGGAGGAACGAGAGCGAAATGGCAGCTGAGTAGCCCCGTAGGGGAGATACTTCGCAGGTTAGGTCCCTTTCATCTTTCCCTCTTTTGTACCTTTGAACTTCCTCTGCGGGGTCAGGTTTCAACCTTGTAGCATCTTCTTGATGTGGCTTCATTGTTAGAGGGCTCCTCTGAAACTGATCACAGCAATAAGGAAGATGGGCAGCGTGGAAACAAAGATATGGCCGGCTTGCAGGTAATTTTACTGAAAAACAAAGCAAAACCCCAATTCCCACACTTATTTCAAAACTGGACCAATCTTCAAGCCAGGGCCCCATTCACACTATACATTTAAAGCATAATAATAATAATAATAATAATAATAATAATAATAATAATTGTGCTTTAAATGTATAGTGTGAATGGAGCCTGGCGGTGTCAGAAGGTCGACGGTTCGAATCCTCACGACGGGGTGAGCTCCCGTTGCTCGGTCCCTGCTCCTGCCAACCTAGCAGTTCGAAAGCACATCAAAGTGCAAGTAGATAAATAGGTACCGCTCCGGCGGGAAGGTAAACAGCGTTTCTGTGCGCTGCTCTGGTTCGCCAGAAGTGGCTTAGTCATGCTGGCCACATGACCCGGAAGCTGTACACCGGCTCCCTCGGCCAATAAAGCGAGATGAGCGCCGCAACCCCAGAGTCATCCACGACTGGACCTAATGGTCAGGGGTCCCTTTACCTTTAATAAAATAATAATAATAATACAGTCATACCTCATGTTATGTCCACTTCATGTTACGTTCTTTCAGGATACGTCCCGCGACGACCCGGAAATACCGGAAAGGGTTACTTCTGGGTTTCACCACTCGTGCATGCGCAGAAGCGCAAAATGACATCATGCGCATGCGCAGAAGCGGCGAATTGCAACCCACGCATGTGCAGGCGCGTCGCTGAGGGTTGCGTTCTTTTCATGTTGCGAACGGGCCTCTAGAACAGATCCCGTTCGCAACCAGAGGTACCAATGTATACCAAAAGAACTAAAAATGCTATTTATGAATGCGACAACAGCCGCAAGAGGGCTACTTGCCCAGAAGTGGAAGGAAGAGAAACTTGCAACTCTTGAATTCGATGCACCTTGTGCTTTCAGTGTTCCTAAATGCTTAGCTTCAGAGCATGCAGAACTTCTCCTGGCTGTTCTTCCCACTTGCCTTCTCCAGAGTGACCCCAGGAGTCAATCCTCAATTGCTGATTCCCCGCCTTCTCCTCTGATTCGCTCCAAGGGTGAGAATACCTCTTCTCGGTGGCCTAGCGGGGAGTGAGGGAACCGGATGGAGCACACATGTGCATTCAACTGCCTAGTGGTATATGAGTCGCCCAGGAGATCGCAGCCACAGAGATAAGAAAAGTCCTTTCACCATCTAGAGATGTCACTTCCTGGTTTGCATGGAGAAGCCGTGTGCCACAGAGCCCAGCGACGGAAGCGGTAAATGCAGGTTTGGGGAACACATGTTTGCTTAAACAATGTGTCGCTCCAACCTTAGCTGTTGTTGTTTTCCCTCAACTAAAGAGGCCCAGATGTTTTGGCCTTTCCTGAGCCAGGACAAAACCATTTGGAGAATATTGCGTTCAGTCCTCTCCTCTGCTTTCTTGGAGCAACTGTGAGGTGTAAACAATTTGTGCACCCTAGTGAGTAGTTTCTCCTGTCTGATATCAGAACCCTTTAGGGGCCTCCTTTGACTGTCTCCAGGTGTTCTGCCTCAACAGGACCTTTCCAGATAGGATTAGACCTCCAGGTCAGACCTGAAGCCTTGTTTTCCTGCCCCCACTTGAGGTAGAACGTGGAGGGGCTGAATCTCCTGGTGGGTGAGAGTGCCCTTAACAAAGATACGGACGGAAGGAAGGAAGGAAGGAAGGAAGGAAGGAAGGAAGGAAGGAGAGAGAGAGAGAGAGAGAGAGAAGGAGAGAAGGACAGAAGGAAAGACAGACAGACGGAAGGAAGGAAGGAAGGAAGGAAGGAAGGAAGGAAGGGAGGGAGGGAGGAAGGAAGGAGAAAGAGAGAGAGAGAGAGAGAGAGAGAGAAGGAAGGAAGGAAGGAAGGAAGGAAGGAAGGAAGGAAGGAAGGAAGGAGAGAGAGAGAGAGATGAAAGAACAAAAGAATGAAAGAACAAAAGAACGACAGAAAGAGAGGAAAGAAAGAAAGAAAGAAAGAAAGAAAGAAAGAAAGAAAGAAAGAAGAAAGCAAGCTGTGCATGTGGTATGCATGCTTCATCTTCACAGAAGGTGGCTGCAAATTAGATGTCAGGGACTGGTGGGGCTCTAAGGAGTGGGTGGCAGAGGCTATGGGGCCAGAGGCTGATCCAGGATCCAGGGCTGGAGGAAAGGAAAGGTCTTGAGCAGTTGGAGATGCAGGAGAGGAGGTGCACAACATGGGGCAGGAGCTGAGGCTGGAGGGGGGACAGGATGTGCCAGCAGCAGAGGAAGGTGTGGTGCCTGAGAGGGAAGGGCTGGCAGAATGGCCTCCATCCCCTTCCCCACTGTCCCCAAGGACAAGGAGGACACTATAACATAGACACTCAGGGTTGGGGGGTCTGCATTCCGCCATTCTCTCCCAATTAACCTCCATCTCCAGGGCCCATTCCATGACATCACCAGGGCCGCCCCTGTTACATCACTAGGGGCCGCCTCCAGGTCTCAAGTTTGGGCCCTGCAATCTCAGGATCTGGGGTGCTCTTGGCCTGACAACACTACTCACAAATAATGCCCGGAATTTTGCTTTAGGTGACATGTGGTGGCGGCAGCTCTACTGTAGACCCTCCGGATACGAATTTAATTCGTTCCAGGGGTCCGTACGTACCCCAGAAAGTCCACAACATGAGGTGCCGCTTCTGCGCACATACACAGTGCAACAGAGCGCTTCTGCGCATGCACAAGGTGCGCAGAGTGCTTCTGCGCATGCGCACATGGCGTGCCGCGTTCCCAACCCGAAAGTTACAGTAATATTTGCTCTATAAGACTAACTTTTTCCCTCCTAAAAAGTAAGGGGAAATGTGTGTGCGTCTTATGGAGCGAATGCAGGCTGCGAAGCTATCCCAGAAGCCAGGATTGCTGCTTTCACTGCACAGCGATCCATCTTGCTGTTCTGGCTTCTGAGATTCAGAATATTTTTTTTCTTGTTTTCCTCCAAAAACTAGGTGCGTCTTGTGGTCTGGTGCATCTTATAGAGCAAAAAATATGGTACATTACCCGAAGGTAACATAACCCAAGGGTCCATTGAACTTCAGAGGGTGCTTGATGAGCAAAGATTGAATGGAGCACCGATTGATTGATTGATTGATTGATTGATTGATTGATTGATTGATTCCAACAGAACAGCAAATGTGGCAGAGCCCTCGTGCTGATAGCAAAGCTCTCATTTTGCTGGCAACCCAGCCCAGTTTTCTATAATCTAGCAAGTGGCAGCAGAGCCCGAAAAAGCCTCAGAGATGTTGTGTCACTATCCAAGCGCCTCAATGTGCCAACATCCTGACAGAATTAGGGAGTCCTCTCCAAACTGCCCTCTAGACACGGAGTCGCACAAAGGGAGGCTTCATCAGGATCCCAGCCTAAATATAGCGGAGCAAGAGTAGTGGAACATTAAATTTTCTTCCTGGCATGCCATCTCCCAACATGATGCAACCTGAAGGAATATTGTTTGAGCGAAGAGGGGAGGTAGAGGGGGAGACGGAGCAGCTGCAGAAAGCAGGAAGGGAGAGGCATCTCGTCAGGAGGTGAAAGAAGAGAAAGCTCAAGGTGGAAGTCTTCTGCTAATTCCCTCACTGCGAGAAGCGAAGTTACAGGGAAGCAGGCAGAGGGCCTTCTCGGTGGTGGCGCCCGCCCTGTGGAACGCCCTCCCTTCGGATGTCAAGGGAATAAACAGCTATCTGACTTTTATAAGACATCTGAAGGAAGCCCTGTTTAGGGAAGTTTTAAAGAACTGATGTTTTTAGATACATTGTAAGCCTCCCAGAAGGGGTCGCGGGTGGCGCTATGGGTTAAACCACAGAGCCTAGGGCTTGCCAATCAGAAGGTCAGTGGTTCAAATCCCCACAACGGGGTGAGCTCCCGTTGTTCGGTCCCAGCTCCTGCCAACCTAGCAGTTCGAAAGCACGTCAAAGTGCAAGTAGATAAATAGGTACCACTCTGGCGGGAAGGTAAACGGCGTTTCCGTGCGCTGCTCTGGTTCGCCAGAAGCGGCTTAGTCATGCTGGCCACATGACCCGGAAGCTGTACGTCGGCTCCCTCGGCCAATAAAGCGAGATGAGTGCCGCAACCCCAGAGTTGGTCACGACTGGACCTAATTAAACAGCCTCCAGGGAGGCTGCAATAACACCTAAAGATAATAACAAATACAGAAAAAAATTGCATCTCCAAAATTAAATCTTGACCCCAACAGACCCCTAAATAATATCCAATGCTAAGAGTCTTTAGGCATCCTAGGAAGCAGTCTTAAAGGAATCAGAACCAAGATAAAAAGAAGCTAAGAAAGGCCTGCAGGATCAGGCCAATGGCTCTGGACTGCAATGCCTCAAGGTCCGCCTCTCTCCATATGAACCTACCCGGACCCTGAGATCATCCTCTGAGGCCCTTCTTCTTCTGCCTCCTCCTTGAGAGGTCTGGAGGGCGGCAACACATGAACGGGGCCTTCCCTGAATTGGCTCCCCATTTGTGGAATGCTCTTCCCAGGGAAGTTCGCCTGGTGCCTACATTACACCCCTTTAAGCGCAAAGAGCAGAGACATCAACTTGCCACCAAAGGTCTGTATAGTTTAAGCTATGGTTTCCTAAGTAGTGATGTATGGAAGTGAGAGCTGGACCATCAAGAAGGCTGATCGCCAAAGAATGGATGCTTCTGAATTCTGGTGCTGGAGGAGACTCTTGAGAGTCCCATGGACTGCAAGAAGATCAAACCTATCCATTCTGAAGGAAATCAGCCCTGAGTGCTCACTTGAAGGACAGATCCTGAAGCTGAGGCTCCAAGACTTTGGCCACCTCATGAGAAGAGAAGACTCCCTGGAAAAGACCCTGATGCTGGGAAAGATTGAGGGCACAAGAAGAAGGGGACGACAGAGGACGAGATGGTGGGACAGTGTCTTTGAAGCTACAAACATGAGTCTGACCAAACTGCTGGAGGCAGTGGAAGAAGTGCCTGGCGTGCTCTGGTCCATGGGGTCACGAAGAGTCGGACACGACTAAACAACTAAACAGCAACAACATCTTAAAACCATTGAAGTTCCATAGTTTGTTCTGCATGAAGAAGGACGTGCTTTTCTCTGAATCTTCCAACATTCATGTTCCTTGGATGTCCACAATTTCTAGAGTTAGAAGAGAGGGAGAAAAACTTTTCTCTGGCCACTTTCTCCATGTCATGGTTTTCCAAACTTCTATCAAGTAAGAAATTCCTTACTTGATCATTTAAGGAATTTAAATATTTGTGTTGGGTTGTGTCCAACGTTAGTTATCCTCAGAGCAGACCAAACGAAACGAATGAACATGACGAGGTTAGGTCCGTTAAGTTCAATAGGTCTACTCTGAGTAGAGCTCACTTGGCTGCAACCCACGGCAATTTTATTTGCTTGCCTTGTATGCTCCCCTTGAGACAAAGGGCGTTCTAGAAGTAAACAATAAAATAATATCAATGTAAGACCAAAAATTGCTGGGAGAGTGTGAGCAGAGGGAACTGTCATTTACAGTGCTAAATATTGGGTTCACCTGGTGAAACTGATGGGCAGGAATGTCTCCCAGGAGTGTGCTGGTCAGTAATTCCACAGTTCAAAGCTGGAGTTATCAGCGAAAACACAATCTCCACAGACTTGGTTGAGCATCAGGCCTGAGGATGGAAACCAAAAGGAACCAAAACGCAAGTCCAAGGATTGAGTCTTGCTCTCCCTCTTGATAAGCACCATCTCTGAGAGAATCTGGAGGTTCCAGGCTTTGGCCCAGGGTTCAGTTTCCTCAGAATGAAGGTCAATGGAGGCTGTGGTGTCTTTATACCTGAAGGAGCATCTTATACCTGAAGGAGCGTCTCCACCCCCATCATCCAACTTGGACACTGAGGTCCAGCTCTGAGGGCCTTCTGGCAGTTCCATCCCCATGAGAAGTTAGGTCTTCTCGGTGGTGGCACCTGCCCTGTGGAACGCCCTCCCATCAGATGTCAAGGAAATAAACAACTACCTGACTTTTAGAAGACATCTAAAGGCAGCCCTGTTTAGGGAAGTTTTTAATGCTTGATGTTTTATCGTGTCTTTAATATTCTGTTGGGAACCACCCAAAGTGGCTGAGGAAACCGTGCTGCTTTGGTTTCGGTGTTCCGTTGTGCCAGAAGCGGCTTAGACCTGCTGGCCACATGACCCGGAAAAACTGTCTGCGGACAAACGCCGGCTCCTTCGGCCTGTAATGTGAGATGAGCACCGCAACCCCAGAGTCATCTGGACTTAACTATCTTGGGTCCTTTACCTTTTAATCAAGATAGCGGCTGGCAACAGATTGCTGGGCAAGGTGAAGTTTGCTCGGATCCAGCAGAGCTCTTCTTGGGGAACTGAGGAATCCTAGCCCTGCAGAAGCCAGGATCTGACCCCCTTCCCATTGTGCAGCTCCTTTTGGGCACTGCCTGCTTCGTATGATCTCCCGCTCCGAACATCTCTTCTACCGGCAAGCTCGGGGCATCCAGCAGTTCTGAACATCTGTCTTCCTGCCAAACATCAATGTCTAATGGGGGCACTGTTTGCATGCATGTGTCCCAAAGATGGAAGTGATTACCATAAAACATGTAAATGGATTATCTCAGAAATTCTCGTCCCAGGGAAGGAGCCTTTCTGTTTTGCATTATGGAATTACAGTATGTTCTCTAATGGCTTGGCACTGGAGGCCGCCTCTTAGGTCTCCTTCCCTGGTGTTTGAGATCAAGGGGAAGAGGCAGCAACATGGGGCTTAAATATGAGCAGCTGTTTCACCTTTCATCCCTGCCCCGTCCGCGGAGATGGCTTGGAAACCGGGTGGAAACTCAAGAAACTCGTTCCCAACTGGTATGAAAAGGACCGCAGGAAGGGGCAGAAAAACCAGTCCACTTCGCTTTCTCATTCCCCCTCCCCCATCTTCAACTCAGCCCTCCACATTTCCACATCAGTTTGCAGGCTTTCGTTTCAAGTCCTCATGAAAACTGGTCGACGTTTCCCCCCCCCCCCCCGCCGCCTTTCTCTCACACATTTTTGCAAGCAATCTCTCCAGGTGTTATTTGCATGCAATTTTTTTGCCCCTTTGTGCCCAGGTGGCAAGGATTGCCTGTATTTTTCTAGCTCATTTGGATAGAGACGGCTTGCCCAATGTGTTCAATGCTCTTGAGAGCCAGTGTGGTGTAGTGGTTAAGAGCAGTGGACTCGTAATCTGGGGAACCGGGTTCACGTCTCCGCTCCTCCACATGCAGCTGCTGGGTGACCTTGGGCTAGTCACACTTCTCTGAAGTCTCTCAGCCCCACTCACCTCACAGAGTGTTTGTTGTGGGGGAGGAAGGGAAAGGAGAATGTGAGCCGCTTTGAGACTCCTTCGGGTAGTGATAAAGCAGGATATCAAATCCAAACTCTTCTTCTTCTTCTTCTTCTAACTTGCAGAGTACAATGGACGCTCGAGTCGCAAACGGGATTCGTGCGGGAAGCACGCTCACAACTGGCAGCGTCTGCAACCTGCAGCGCCGTGTCTGCGCATGTGCGGGTTGCGATTCAGCGCTTCTGCACATGCACAGAGCACGATTTAGCACTTCTGCGCATGAGCAAGCGCCGAAACCCGGAAGTAACCCGTTCCAGTACTTCCGGGTTCCGGTGCACAACCCAAAATCGCACAACCCGAAGCATCTGTAACCCAAAGTATGACTGTATAGAGAATCATGGAATGGTAGAGTTGCAAGGGACTGTGAGGGTCATCTAGTCCAACCCCCTGAAAAGCAGGAATATTTTGCCCAACGTGGGGCTCAAACCCACAGCCCTGAGATTAAGAGTCTCCTGCTTTGCCAGCTGAGCTATCCCAGCCTAAGGGGTGGAGGTCTCTGCCTTTCCTCATGCCAAAGTTTCATCTCAGGAGTCCAGAGAAAATGTGTTTGATGACTTCATCGCGACTGAACTCCATCGCTTGATCCTTGTCTTCTGAGTGCAGCCTAAGAGGGGAACCAGAAGTCAGAGCTCAAGGGAGAGCTGAACAGCTGGTGCTCTGGCGGACGGGTGTGGAATCCATCTATGCGTTACTGAGTTGTGGTGTGAATCCATCTTTTGCTCTTAAGGCATTAAAATACCACTTGGATTTAATGAGAAGGGGCTTTGAGTTGGCTGCAAGAACTTTCCCAATCTGGCAAAGTGCGGGACGTGTTCTTGGCTGAAATTTCGCACTTTGAAAACCATCCCACGTAAGTGAGCGATCCTACATTTCAGGGATTAAGAATCAGTGGTCCTCCAGAGGTTGTTGCAATCCAAATAATATTGTTAGTAGCAGTGACTACATTATTACATGAGCACTGTTCCACAGCATTTTATATTTTCATTTACATACATTCATTCAAAATAAGATGGGGTATGTTGTTGTTGAGACACAGCATAGCCATAATGGCTGTTGTTGCTTAGTCATTTAGTCGTGTCCGACTCTTCATGACCCTATGGACCAGAGCACGCCAGGCACTCCTGTCTTCCACTGCCTCCCGCAGTTTGGTCAAACTCATGCTGGTAGCTTCCAGAACACTGTCCAACCATCTCGTCCTCTGTTGTCCCCTTCTCCTTGTGCCCTCCATCTTTCCCAACATCAGGGTCTTTTCCAGGGAGTCTTCTCTTCTCAAGAGGTGGCCAAAGTCTTGGAGCCTCAGCTTCAGGATCTGTCCTTCCAGTGAGCACTCAGGGCTGATTTCCTTCAGAATGGAGAGGTTGGATCTTCTTGCAGTCCATGGGACTCTCAAGAGTCTCCTCCAACACCATAATTCAAAAGCATCCATTCTTCGGCGATCAGCCTTCTTGATGGTCCAGCTCTCACTTCCATACATCACTACTGGGAAAACCATAGCTTTAACTATACGGACCTTTGTTGGCAAGGTGATGTCTGCTTTTTAAGATGCTGTCTAGGTTTGTCATTGCTTTTCTCCCAAGAAGCAGGCGTCTTTTGATTTCATGACTGCTGTGCTCTTTTTCATTACTGTTTGTATTATAGTTTATAATTTTTGTAAAGTGATATGTGCATGCAGGTCATCGTCTGTAACCTTTTATTTTCAGTTTATGAAGCAATTCTACATCCTCCTACAATGCTGACGAAGAATTCTACAAAACAGTAGTCAGTATCGGGAATCACAGTTCAGTGTTGGACATCATATTTGCTGAATACACAAAGCTTCATAGCTTGTCTTTCATCGTACACAGTCTGGTACCTTGCTTCATTTAAAGATTTTCAGAGACTTTGAGACTGAAGATTTCATTTTGTACATGTTAAGGTTTGAAGGAATTCTATAAAGATTGTCTATTGCTTATGCACATGGTCATTGTGTTGCCTAGACATTGCTGGCAATCCAGCTCCCATCAGGCAACGTGGTCAGGGATTATGGGAGTTCTAGTCCAGCAAAATCTGGAGGGTGAGAGGTTCGCCACCCCTGCTATATTTTGCAACTAAGCATCAAACTGGGAGCATGCACAGGTTGCTGTGAAATCCACACAGCTCTGATGGGAAGTGTGGATGGATGCCAGACGCCCAGGTCTGAGCACCAACCTAGATGGATTTAAAAGAGAATCGGACAAATTCGTGGAAAAGAAGGCTTTCGAAGGCCACAAGCCATCAATGGCGATGCTCTGCTTCCGCAGCTGGAGGCATTGATGCTTCTGAATGCCATTTGCTGGAAGCCACAGGAGGGGAGAGTGGCTCTTGTGTTCGAATCCTGCTTGTAGGTTTCTCACAGGCATCTGGCCGGCCACTGTGAGAACAGGATGCTGGACCAGGTGGGCCTTTGGCCCAGTTCAGCAGGCTCTTCTAATGTCCTTACAACAAGAGCTTTATTGTCTCTCTCCGACGGTAACAGAACACAGGAATATTCCATCTAGTGCCACCTAGTGACGAAACTGGGTATGACACTATCCAATTAAGAGTCAGTCAAGATATATATGAAATGTACTTTTGAAAAGAAATTAAACAGGCCTGCTTAACCTTCTCTCTCCCTCCCTTTCTCTCTCTCAGCTGTCGTGCTAAATGTCTCTTCCCCCCCTTTTTGCCCTTCCCCCTGAATCATTGATCAGCTCCTTATATGCTCTCCTAACTACCATGCTTAGTTTCTTGTTATACATGCATGCAATGCAGACCTGGGCTCAGGAGCTTCATCTGCATAACAAAAGACAGAGGGGATTCTGAAGCCCTCCAATGACATTGTGAGCCAATCCCTGCTGAGATAGGGCCAGGGTTGTGATTCGCTAATTGCAGCATTAAGGTGACCTATCACAGGCAGGGTGTGTGTTTTCCCTGGGGCGGCTTAAGGTACCATATTTTCCCATGTATAAGACGATGCTTTTTGCTTTTAAAAAAAGGCAAAAATTGGGTGTCGTCTTATACATGAATAGTGAATGCAGGGGGGGGACGTGTGATTAATCACAGCAGCAAGCAGGAGATTGGCAACAGCAATGGGGCAGGCGATTGGCAGCTGCGGCGAGATGTGCGATTGGCAGTGGCTGTGGCAAGCAATTGGCAGTGGCGGGCAGGCAAGTGAGCGATGGGCGGAAGTGACCTCCCCCCCACCAAAAAAAGCTAAACAACTTAATTTCTTAATTTTGGGTTAAAAAAAATAGGGGTCGTCTTATACATGGCAGTGTCATATACTCAGAAAAATACGGTGTATATACAGTCATACCTTGGGTTACAGCCGCTTCAGGTTGCGTTTTTTCGGGTTGCAGACCACCGAAACCTGGAAGTACCGGAACGGGTTAGTTCCAGGTTTCGGCGGTTGCGCATGCGCAGAAGCACTAAATCGCGCTTTGCGCATGCGCAGAAGCGCCGAATCACAACCCGGACATGCGCCGACGCGCCGACACGGGTTGCGAACGCTGCGGATTGCAAACGTTCATCCCACACAGATCACGTTCGCAACACGAGCATCCACTGTATATTGGGCCAAGTGCCCCTGTTTGCCAGTCTTGTTGCTGTTGCTGCAATAAATCCTTTTGAGCTGAAATCTGGCATTTGGGTTATGCCTGAACCAACCAACACTACAGTTCCCACTACAATACGACACAGCCAGTGGTAGCAGGCGCTCACTGGGATCGGTAGCGGCAGGGAGATCAAGCCAGAGCCACAAACACAGAGAGTAAGATGGCATATCCCACAATTGGCTTCGGAAAACTGGGACATCCCAATTTTTTTTCACATGAGAGCACAGCAGCCATTCTGGGTAGTATAATCTTAAGCGAACTCACACCGTGACCTTGCCCTGAGGGGGGGACACCACTTTTGGGGGCTGCAATCTCACATGGTGCCCCCAAATGCACATTTTGGGGTGCTGTGCTCTCCCAGAAAAGCACTGCTACGACACAAGCACCCTTGCCCTTCTGGAGCTGGTGTATGGACCAGGCGAGGCAGAGAACTTAAAAGCTCTTTCTGAGCTCTACGTTTTCCTTATAGGGAAGGTTCTGTTCTGTTCGGTTCTGTTCAATATGCCAGCTCCGGGATGCTCTTGTGAGATCTCATGGGGCCATCCTAGTTCCCGCAAGATCTTGCCGGACTGTCCCCAGGCTTCCAGAGCTGGCATGTCAAGAAAGCCTTGCCTGGCAAGCGAGGCAGGTTGCTTCAAAGCTCTTCTCGTGCCAGGAAAACCCGGTGTGTGTTTAATTCGTGCCATTATAACTGGCTGGCTTTCAACAGCGCAGGTTAGAAATCGCAAACGTTCAATGCGTGCAGCAACTGTACAAAGAGTTTCTACTGGCTGGGTGACAGCATTTTCAAGGAAATAAAGCAATCACTCTACTGAGTAGTCTGAAAATGTTTGAGACATTATCTCTATCCTGCAGAACAGCTGTTAATGCTGAAGTTTTGTTGTTGTTGTTTAGTCGTTTAGTCGTGTCCGACTCTTCGTGACCCCCTGGACCAGAGCACGCCAGGCATTCCTGCCTTCCACTGTCTGCCGCAGTTTGGTCAAACTCATGCTGGTAGCTTTGAGAACACTGTCCCACCATCTCGTCCTCTGTCGTCCCCTTCTCCTTGTGCCCTCCATCTTTCCACACATCAAGGTCTTTTCCAGGGAGTCTTCTCTTCTCATGAGGTGGCCAAAGTCTTGGAGCCTCAGCTTCAGGATCTGTCCTTCAAGTGAGCACTCAGGGCTGATTTCCTTCAGAATGGATAGGTTTGATCTTCTTGCAGTCCATGGGACTCTCAAGAGTCTCCTCCAGCACCAGAATTCAAAAGCATCAATTCTTCGGCAATCAGCCTTCTTTATGGTCCAGCTCTCACTTCCATACATCACTACTGGGAAAACCATAGCTTGAACTATACGGACCTTTGTTGGCAAGGTGATGTCTCTGCTCCTTCACTGCCTTGCCATGGCCAAGGTCCTTGAATACCTCAGAGAAGCTATGAGCTATGCCAAGCAGGGCTACCCAAGACGGACAGCTCATAGTGGAGAGTTTTGACCAAACGTGATCCACCTGGAGCAGGAACCGGCAAGCCACTCCAGTATCCCTGCCAAGAAAACTCCATGGACAAAGACAACAGGCTGAAGTTTTAGAGTGGGGAATAAAGAGTTATTCACTAGTGGCATCATTTACCAGGTTCTTGGGATGTTCGTAGCTGCAGCACGGATGCAACGAGTCCTGAGACATGCAGTTTCCAGGATGCCTGACTGACAGTCATATTTTGGTACCATGGGGAAATTGCTTTCCCAGGGTCCCTGGTGCCTGAGATGCTGCTGTTGCTGGGATCGTGACATTGAGGAATGAGTGGCCTCTGACAAGACTCCTCTACCCCTCACGGCTCCTGCCAAATAAATGAAAAGGTAGCCATGGGTCAGGAATTCAGATCCCATCAC